GGACATCTTCCAACAGCATCCCTATAATCTGATTAAATGGACATCTTCCAATAGCATCCCTATATCGGATTAAATGGACATCTTCCAACAGCATCCCCATATCTGATGAAATGGACATCTTTCAACAGCATCCCTATATCTGATCAAATGGACATCTTTCAACAGCATCCCTATATCTGATGAAATGGACATCTTCCAACAGCATTCCTATAATCTGATAAATGGACATCTTCCAATAGCATCCCTATAATCTGATTAAATGGACATCTTCCAATAACATCCCTATATCGGTTTAAATGGACATCTTCCAACAGCATCCCCATATCTGAAGAAATGGACATCTTCCAATAGCATCCCTATAATCTGATCAATGGATATCTTCCAATAGCATCCCTATATCTGATTAAATGGACATCTTCCAACACCATTCCTAGATCTCATGAAATGGATATCTTCCAATAGAATTCCTATATCTGATTAAATGGACATCTTCCAATAGCATCCCTATATCTGATTAAATGGACATCTTCCAATAGTTTCCCTATATCTGATGAAATGGACATATTCCAATAGCATTCCTATAATCTGATAAATGGACATCTTCCAATAGCATCCCTATATCTGATTAAATGGACATCTTCCAACAGTATCCCTATAATCTGATTAAATGGACATCTTCCAATAACATCCCTATATCGGTTTAAATGGACATCTTCCAACAGCATACCCATATCTGATGAAATGGGCATCTTCCAATAGCATCCCTATAATCTGATAAATGGATATCTTCCAATAGCATCCCTATATCTGATTAAATGGACATCTTCCAACACCATTCCTATATCTCATGAAATGGATATCTTCCAATAGAATCCCTATATCTGATTAAATGGACATCTTCCAATAGCATCCCTATATCTGATTAAATGGACATCTTCCAATAGTTTCCCTATATCTGATTAAATGGACATCTTCCAATAGCATCCCTATAATCTGATTAAATGGACATCTTCCAACAGTATTACTATATCTGATGAAAGGGACATCTTCCAATAGCATCCCTATAATCTGATAAATGGACATCTTCCAATAGTTTCCCTATATCTGATGAAATGGATATCTTCCAATAGAATTCCTATATCTGATTAAATGGACATCTTCCAATAGTTTCCCTATATCTGATGAAATGGACATCTTCCAATAGCATTCCTATAATCTGATCAATGGACATCTTCCAATAGCATCGCTATATCTGATTAAATGGACATCTTCCAACAGTATCCCTATAATCTGATTAAATGGACATCTTCCAATAACATCCCTCTATCGGTTTAAATGGACATCTTCCAACAGCATCCCGATATCTGATGAAATGGGTATCTTCCAATAGCATCCCTATAATCTGATAAATGGATATCTTCCAATAGCATCCCTATATCTGATTAAATGGACATCTTCCAACACCATTCCTATACCTCATGAAATGGATATCTTCCAATAGAATCCCTATATCTGATTAAATGGACATCTTCCAATAGCATCCCTATATCTGATTAAATGGACATCTTCCAATAGTTTCCCTATATCTGATTAAATGGACATCTTCCAATAGCATCCCTATAATCTGATTAAATGGACATCTTCCAACAGTATTCCTATATCTGATGAAATGGACATCTTCCAATAGCATCCCTATAATCTGATAAATGGACATCTTCCAATAGCTTCCCTATATCTGATTAAATGGACATCTTCCAACAGCATCCCTATATCTGATGAAATGGACATCTTCCAATAGCATCCCTATATCTGATGAAATGGACATCTTCCAATAGCATTCCTTTAATCTGATCAATGGACATATTTCAATAGCATCCCTATATCTGATGAAATGGACATCTTTCAATAGCTTCCCTATATCTAATTAAATGGACATCTTCCAATAGCATCCCTATATCTGATGAAATGGACATCTTTCAATAGCATCCCTATAATCTGATTAAATGGACATCTTCCAACAGTATTACTATATCTGATGAAAGGGACATCTTCCAATAGCATCCCTATAATCTGATAAATGGACATCTTCCAATAGTTTCCCTATATCTGATGAAATGGATATCTTCCAATAGAATTCCTATATCTGATTAAATGGACATCTTCCAATAGTTTCCCTATATCTGATGAAATGGACATCTTCCAATAGCATTCCTATAATCTGATCAATGGACATCTTCCAATAGCATCGCTATATCTGATTAAATGGACATCTTCCAACAGTATCCCTATAATCTGATTAAATGGACATCTTCCAATAACATCCCTCTATCGGTTTAAGTGGACATCTTCCAACAGCATCCCGATATCTGATGAAATGGGTATCTTCCAATAGCATCCCTATAATCTGATAAATGGATATCTTCCAATAGCATCCCTATATCTGATTAAATGGACATCTTCCAACACCATTCCTATACCTCATGAAATGGATATCTTCCAATAGAATCCCTATATCTGATTAAATGGACATCTTCCAATAGCATCCCTATATCTGATTAAATGGACATCTTCCAATAGTTTCCCTATATCTGATTAAATGGACATCTTCCAATAGCATCCCTATAATCTGATTAAATGGACATCTTCCAACAGTATTCCTATATCTGATGAAATGGACATCTTCCAATAGCATCCCTATAATCTGATAAATGGACATCTTCCAATAGCTTCCCTATATCTGATTAAATGGACATCTTCCAACAGCATCCCTATATCTGATGAAATGGACATCTTCCAATAGCATCCCTATATCTGATGAAATGGACATCTTCCAATAGCATTCCTTTAATCTGATCAATGGACATATTTCAATAGCATCCCTATATCTGATGAAATGGACATCTTTCAATAGCTTCCCTATATCTAATTAAATGGACATCTTCCAATAGCATCCCTATATCTGATGAAATGGACATCTTTCAATAGCATCCCTATATCTGATGAAATGGACATCTTTCAATAGCTTCCCTATATCTAATTAAATGGACATCTTCCAATAGCATCTCTATAACCTGATTAAATGGACATCTTCAAACAGCATCCCCATATCTGATGAAATGGACATCTTTCAACAGCATCCCTATATCTGATGAAATGAACATCTTCCAATAGCATTCCTATAATCTGATAAATGGACATCTTTCAACAGCATCCCTATATCTGATGAAATGAACATCTTCCAATAGCATTCCTATAATCTGATAAATGGACATCTTCCAATAGCATCCTATATCTGATTAAATGGACATCTTCCAACAGCATCCCTATAATCTGATTAAATGGACATCTTCCAATAGCATCCCTATATCGGATTAAATGGACATCTTCCAACAGCATCCCCATATCTGATGAAATGGACATCTTTCAACAGCATCCCTATATCTGATGAAATGGACATCTTCCAATAGCATTCCTATAATCTGATAAATGGACATCTTCCAATAGCATCCCTATATCTGATTAAATGGACATCTTCCAATAGCATCCCTATATCTGATTAAATGGACATTTTCCAACAGCATCCCTATAATCTGATTGAATGGACATCTTTCAACAGCATCCCTTTTTCTGATGAAATGGACATCTTTCAACAGCATCCCTTTTTCTGATGAAATGGACATCTTCCAATAGCATTCCTATGATCTGATGAAATGGACATCTTCCAATAGCATCCCTATATCTGATTAAATGGACATCTTCCAACAGTATCCCTATAATCTGATTAAATGGACATCTTCCAATAGCATCCCTATATCGGTTTAAATGGACATCTTCCAACAGCATCCCCATATCTGATGAAATGGACATCTTCCAATAGCATCCCTATAATGTGATCAATAGATATCTTCCAATAGCATCCCTATAATCTGATAAATGGACATCTTCCAATAGCATCTCTATATCTGATTAAATGGACATCTTCCAACAGCATCCCTATATCTGATGAAATGGATATCTTCCAACAGCATCCCCATATCTGATTAAATGGACATCTTCCAATAGCATCCCTATATCTGATTAAATGGACATCTTCCAATAGTTTCCCTATATCTGATTAAATGGACATCTTCCAATAGCATCCCTATAATCTGATTAAATGGACATCTTCCAACACCATTCCTATATCTGATTAAATGGAAATCTTTCAATAGCGTCCTTATAATCTGATTGAATGGACATCTTCCAATAGCTTCCCCAAAATCTGATTAAATGGACATCTTCCAATAGCATCCCTATAATCTGATTACATGGACATCTTCCAATAGCATCCCTATATCGGTTTAAATGGACATCTTCCAACAGCATCCCCATATCTGATGAAATGGACATCTTCCAATAGCATCCCTATAATCTGATAAATAGATATCTTCCAATAGCATCCCTATAATCTGATAAATGGACATCTTCCAATAGCATCTCTATATCTGATTAAATGGACATCTTCCAACAGCATCCCTTTATCTGATGAAATGGATATCTTCCAATAGCATCCCTATATCTGATTAAATGGACATCTTCCAATAGCATCCCTATAATGTGATTAAATGGACATCTTCCAATAGCATCCCTATATCTGATTAAATGGAAATCTTTCAATAGCTTCCTTAAAATCTGATTAAATGGACATCTTCCAATAGCATCCCTATAATCTGATTACATGGACATCTTCCAACAGCATCGCTATAATCTGATAAATGGACATCTTCCAATAGCATCCCTATATCTGATTAAATGGACATCTTCCAACAGCATTCCTATATCTGATGAAATGGACATCTTCCAATAGCATCCCTATATCTGATTAAATGGACATCTTCCAATAGCATCCCTATAATCGTAATCGCCTGAAAAGCATGGTGTCCAACCTAATGGGGTTCGGGCTAATGAGGTTATAATACTGAATTAATTAAACTTGTGTGAGATAGGGAGGGCCTTCTCACCTGTGCTGCAGTTCTTGTCTGTATACCCAGGTTCACAGTCACAGGTGTAGTTGTTGACGTGGTCGACACATGTACCGTTCGCACATGGGTTTGTTGCACACTCGTCAATATCTACAAACAGTTACATAAAGAATTAACCAAAACTGTCCAAATACATAATTATCCGAACAAACGAATTACCGTTACTAAGTATTTTTCATTGTGGATCTTCAGTCGCAAAAAGTCGTAATCGCCTGAAAAGTATTGTGTCCAACCTAATAGGGTTCGGGCTAATGAGGTTATAATACTGAAATAAATTAAACCTGTGTGAGATAGGTAAGGCCTTCTCACCTATGCCGCAGTTCCTGTTTGTATACCCAGGTTCACAGTCACAGGTGTAGTTGTTGACGTGGTCGACACATGTACCGTTCGCACATGGGTTTGTTGCACAGTCGTCTATGTCTACAAACAGTTACATGAACAATTAACCAAAACATAACATAACAATTAATGCTTTTTGTTTCACAGCAACTAGCGGCAGAGACCCAAACATTACACTCAGTAGCTTTAGAAGTTGAGTTCTTTCAGAGTAGCAGCGACTTCTTCATGTCATTTTTATATCTTAGTTTGGTTTGTTTGTTTATATTTACTTTACGTTTATTGTAAATATAGGTCATAAAAAGGCTCCTTAAATATTGAAGGTCGGTGGCAGTATTCTAAGGTTTGTGGTATTTAGCACATGTCAAAATGAATTATATTGGTAGTTGGTTATATTTGTCTATTATTTCATATGAATTTCATTTATCTGAAAGGGGATACCGTCGTAAAGTGTGATTCTTGATCAAGAGTATTGTCTCATTCTGAAACTAGGATAAAACTTGTTTATCACCTGACCATATTTACTATCTACTCATGGCTAGTTTTAAAACTAAGATAGTCCCCCTGCATCAAATCTAACCACCTAAATCACAGCACAGCACAGCACAGCACAGCAGGCAACAACACGTTATGTGACAGCACGATAAAACAGGTCAGTTAAATACTTCAACACTAAATTATGTTCATGTTTTTTAGTTCTTTTGTATGATCACAAAATCGGTTGTTTCTTAAACAATAATGTTCTTCGGTAACTTGTTACATATGGTAATGTTGAAAAAGTATCTAAATTAATGTTGATCGATTACGTTAAAGCTAAAGTTCATTTGGTAATGTAGGCAATTGCAATAAAGGTTCTGATTAAAGACAGAGTTAAATAATTATTAACGTAAGCTTTTGTCAGTTGGCTATGTGCATATATATGCAATGGCTTTGTTTGAATTGTGTGAGTGAATATCCTACGTCATGATGAGTGCACTGTCACAATGTTCTATGATGGTGTTTGTGAATTGCAGGCAATCCATGGTCTGCCTTTATTGTAAGTCATCATGTGTTTTCATATGGCTCAATTCCACAAATACGTAAGGTTTATTATCATGGATAAATATATTTGATCTTTATGTTACAACATGTATGTTACGTTACTTGTTGGGTGATGCCGGTGTTAAGTATATGTGTAAATACTGTTTTCATTGTGATTATGTGGGCAAAACATGTTATTTGGTGGTGAATTACCTCCCTTGGCGTGATATTATCTCACAGCTTATGTCATGAGTGTTTATTACCTCCCTTGATGTGACAAATTTAGATATTTGTCGGACAATTGTTATGTATAGTTATTTTACAATGTCATAAATCCCATACATTTTTTGTGATGTGATAACTACTTGTGATATTGATACATATGATTTATGGCTGTTACTACACTGTTATAATTGTTTCAGGGCCATGACTACATGAACACCTGACATCTGAAATAAACCGATCATTACCCCACAGCGAGGCACGGTCATACTTCGCGACCAAAATCATCTCTAACATTAATAATAGGATGTACATCTGGGCTTTTTAAAACCGAACTGAACATTTGTAGCAGTTATATGTGTCTATTCTGAAACGAACATCTTCCAATAGCATCCCCATATCTGATGAAATGGACTTCTTCCAATAGCATCCCTATATGTGATTAAATGGACATCTTCCAATAGCATCCCTATATCTGATTAAATGGACATCTTCCAATAGGATCCCTATAATCTGATTAAATGAACATTTTCCAATAGCATCCCTATAATCTGATTAAATGGACATCTTCCCATAGCATCCCTATAATCTGATTAAATGGACATCTTCCAACAGCATCCCTATATCTGATCAAATGGACATCTTCCAACAGCATGCCTATATCTGATGAAATGGACATCTTCCAATAGCATCCCTATAATCTGATAAATGGACATCTTCCAATAGCATACCTATATCTGATTAAATGGACAGCTTCCAACAGCATCCCTATATCTGATGAAATGGACATCTTCCAATAGCTTCCCTATATCTGATTAAATGGACATTTTCCAATAGCTTCCCTATATCTGATTAAATGGACATCTTCCAATAGCATCCCTATATCTGATGAAATGGACATCTTCCAATAGCTTCCCTATATCTGATGAAATGGACATCTTCCAATAGCATCCCTATATCTGATTAAATGGACATCTTCCAACAGCATCCCTAGATCTGATTAAATGGACATCTTCCAATAGCATCCCTATATCTGATTAAATGGACAGCTTCCAACAACATCCCTAGATCTGATTACATGGACATCTTCCAATAGCATCCCTATATCTGATTAAATGGACATCTTCCAATAGCATCCCTATATCTGATTAAATGGACATCTTCCAATACCATCCCTATATCTGATTAAATGGACATCTTCCAATAGCTACCCTATATCTGATTAAATGGACATCTTCCAATAGCATCCCTATATCTGATTAAATGGACATCTTCCAATAACATCCCTATATCTGATTAAATGGACAGCTTCCAACAGCATCCCTATATCTGATTAAATGGACATCTTCCAACAGCATCCCTATATCTGATTAAATGGACACCTTCCAATAGCATTCCTATATCTGATAAAATGGACATCTTCCAATAGCATCTCTATATCTGATTAAATGGACATCTTCCAATAGCATCCCTATATCTGATTAAATGGACATCTTCCACTGGCATCGCTATATCTGATTAAATGGACATCTTCGCATAGCATCCCTATATCTGATTAAATGGACATCTTCCACTAGCATACCTATATCTGGTGAAATGGACATCTTCCAATAGCATCCCTATATCTGATTAAATGGACATCTTCCAACAGCATCCCTATATGTGATTAAATGGACATCTTCCAATAGCATCCCCATATCTGATGAAATGGACTTCTTCCAATAGCATCCCTATATGTGATTAAATGGACATCTTCCAATAGCATCCCTATATCTGATTAAATGGACATCTTCCAATAGGATCCCTATAATCTGATTAAATGAACATCTTCCAATAGCATCCCTATAATCTGATTAAATGGACATCTTCCCATAGCATCCCTATAATCTGATTAAATGGACATCTTCCAACAGCATCCCTATATCTGATCAAATGGACATCTTCCAACAGCATGCCTATATCTGATGAAATGGACATCTTCCAATAGCATCCCTATAATCTGATAAATGGACATCTTCCAATAGCATACCTATATCTGATTAAATGGACAGCTTCCAACAGCATCCCTATATCTGATGAAATGGACATCTTCCAATAGCTTCCCTATATCTGATTAAATGGACATTTTCCAATAGCTTCCCTATATCTGATTAAATGGACATCTTCCAATAGCATCCCTATATCTGATGAAATGGACATCTTCCAATAGCTTCCCTATATCTGATTAAATGGACATCTTCCAATAGCATCCCTATATCTGATTAAATGGACATCTTCCAATAGCATCCCTATATCTGATTAAATGGACATCTTCCAACAGCATCCCTAGATCTGATTAAATGGACATCTTCCAATAGCATCCCTATATCTGATTAAATGGACAGCTTCCAACAACATCCCTAGATCTGATTAAATGGACATCTTCCAATAGCATCCCTATTTTTGATTAAATGGACATCTTCCAATAGCATCCCTATATCTGATTAAATGGACATCTTCCAATAACATCCCTATATCTGATTAAATGGACATCTTCCAATAGCTACCCTATATCTGATTAAATGGACATCTTCCAATAGCATCCCTATATCTGATTAAATGGACATCTTCCAATAACATCCCTATATCTGATTAAATGGACAGCTTCCAACAGCATCCCTATATCTGATTAAATGGACATCTTCCAACAGCATCCCTATATCTGATTAAATGGACACCTTCCAATAGCATTCCTATATCTGATAAAATGGACATCTTCCAATAGCATCCCTATATCTGATTAAATGGACATCGTCCAATAGCATCCCTATATCTGATTAAATGGACATCTTCCACTGGCATCCCTATATCTGATTAAATGGACATCTTCGCATAGCATCCCTATATCTGATTAAATGGACATCTTCCACTAGCATCCCTATATCTGGTGAAATGGACATCTTCCAATAGCATCCCTATATCTGATTAAATGGACATCTTCCAACAGCATCCCTATATGTGATTAAATGGACATCTTCCAATAGCATCCCTATATGTGATTAAATGGACATCGTCCAATAGCATCCCTATAATCTGATTAAATGAACATCTTCCAATAGCATCCCTATAATCTGATTAAATGGACATCTTCCCATAGCATCCCTATAATCTGATTAAATGGACATCTTCCAACAGCATCCCTATATCTGATCAAATGGACATCTTCCAACAGCATGCCTATATCTGATGAAATGGACATCTTCCAATAGCATCCCTATAATCTGATAAATGGACATCTTCCAATAGCATACCTATATCTGATTAAATGGACAGCTTCCAACAGCATCCCTATATCTGATGAAATGGACATCTTCCAATAGCTTCCCTATATCTGATTAAATGGACATTTTCCAATAGCTTCCCTATATCTGATTAAATGGACATCTTCCAATAGCATCCCTATATCTGATTAAATGGACATCTTCCAATAGCATCCCTATATCTGATTAAATGGACATCTTCCAATAGCATCC